AAACAGTTGCATCTTTATCTGCTGGAATAAGAAATCCCTGTACGGAGGTAGCCCTCTTCCAAATTAAATAAAATATTCCAGGCTTCCCCCTCCTCCTTCTACACAGAATGGAATGCCAGGAGACAGAATAAATTCCCAAAAACAGCTTGCAGAGAAATTCAAAGATTCCAAATATCTATGCTTTAAATACTGAACACCTGTATCCCAGGTGTTAGAGGAGCATACAGGTTTTATAACACAGCAGAACGCACGCCAGACTCCACTATGCTGTGAGGCAAGCTCCCCCCTTCATTCTCCATCCTCAGAAGGCAATGCAAGCTCTGGGATTCTTTGCTAAGGCCTTATGCCTGTGTGGGAATTTATCCCCAAAGGCATGACCGGTACAGAGAAGCACTAAGATCAGTACCAGACATGATTTCAGCTGGTTAAAGAAGCTTTGCTCTCCATTCCCAGGCAGATTTGGTCCTTTTTCATTTTATTAAGCAAAACTGGGGGGTAAAAAAAAAAGAACAGAAGACAAAGCCAGACTATGCAGGGTATCTCAGAAGAGAAATAGCTACGTGTCATAGTTCTGATGTTTCAGACACAAGGGAAAAATATTTTCACAACTAGTTTACTGTTTAGTACCCTGTAGATACATAATATTTGACATTTATAGCAGTTTCTATACTTTATGACCTAGAATATACTTTAGATCACTAATGAAAAATAAACCCATTCAGAGACTGGAAAATAATGTGCATAACAATTTACTTTCAAATGAAAGGTTATGAAGGGATTTTTTTTTTAACTTTCAAAAATATCTGTAAGAAAATATTATTTTACATACCTATATTACACAGTGAAATAAACTTTGTTATGTACAAGGTTTCAGTATGAAAGAAACCAACGCCAGACATTTACTCATGGTCTAGATAATCTGTTGTCTCTTACCAGTCAGTACAACAGAGACTCTCCTTCACTCTTTTTCAGACTATTTCAGTGATCATTTCAACTTTTAGCTTCAACTTAGAACTACTTACCAGTAGTTCTATAAAACCTGTGTGCATCCACATATTAACCCTATTACATTTAGGTATGGGCAGCTACGCTATCAAAGCAAGGTTGTACATCTGCTTGGCAACCACAGTAACTTGAGTATAACTCAGTTGCATATTGGAGGAAAAAAAACAGTGCAGACACCTGAGCTATAGCATTCTAAGGGAGTTTGGTGCTAAACTCTCCTTTGCATTTGGGTATTTCACAGCACAAAAATGAGAGCACAGGAGTCATTAAGGAAATAGTATATGGTGTATTTGCATAACCCTAAAACTTATTTTCCCTCCTGAAGCGAGGATGAAGTAGTCTTTCACAGCTTTTTCCTAGTTTGTGTATTTTAGGCAGAAAATACACCACCACAATCTATTTGGATCACGTTGGCAAAATTGCTTCATATAGCCTTAACTTATCAAAAGCTGGTATCTACCTATTCTTAAGCGACAAACTTTGCTCCCATCTGAGGAGTGGAAAGGACACAGAGTACTTTGCTATTTGTGGTATAACTGTAAACAACTGCAGGGAAGACCATATTAACTATGCTTCAAGTTTACATCAGACTGTTGCCATTATTTAAAGGAACTGAAGCTTATCTTCAAGTTCACCTCATCGCTATTGTGCTTTAAGGGGAAAGAATTTTGCACTACAAACTGTCTCCAAATCTGTGTTTGCTCACACACTTCAGATTCCAGGACAAAGATCTGACAGTGCTGCCTGTGCAGGAGATCAGTTCAACAGCTGAAAACAAGTTCAGGGAATATTCAAGGCAGACAGCACCGCATCTCCCTCCTCTCCTGTTTAATGAGGACTTGCACAACAACTTTGGAGGCATGTCCTCTCCTTTGCTCTAATGCTATAGCTCAGCTGCATACCATAAATAATAGCAAAAAAGGAAACATGAAAGCCCTAATGAAAAGGAAATTGCTTTGTGGTAAGGAAGGAAAAAAGGAACACGCAAACCCCCTGCCTGTGGTGCCTTCCAGCCTGTGCTCCCTCCCATCACTTCCCATCTCAGCTGGGTTTACTGTGCTGCAGAATCTGCAACATGCCCACAGTCAAGAGCTCCCAGCCACTCTCAAGGGACAGCTTACTCAAGACATACTCTTGCACATGAGCAACCAGCTTCTGCTGCCTCGATGTGTACCACAGACATGACCAGGAGCTGGAGCTCTCCCATTTGCTTTAGGAAAACCAAGCAGCCTATACAAGCACTGGCACAGCTCAGTATCTGCTTGAAAGAGTTCCAGCACAGACCAGCGTGCAGACTCCTCCTTAATCAGCATCCCCTGGGACCAGTCAGTAAGAAATACATATTCTAGCCTCAACACCACACACTAATAGCAACGGAGGAGGTCCCCCAGCCCACCTGCAAGTTTCTATCAGTTAAGAAGGCACCAGGCATGTCAAACCCAGTTCATTAACATTGGTGGAGATTTCTGCCTTACACCTTCTGGGCTACCTATCCATGTAACCTTGCACCAGGCAAGCAGGCAGCTTGTTGCAATACCAATGGGTGCCACAACTGAACAGAAGCAGGGGCAGAGAAAGGAAAACAATACCCTCATGCTTCTCACCTACCAACTCAGAGCTACATGGACATGTCCTGAAAGTAGCTGGCTCCTTCTTAATAGTATTAAATACTCTTAACATCTGCTGATAAGTAGATGTCAAAGGCATTTAATATCTTACAGAGTCAGGCCTACTGGCAGATGGCTGAGGGAAAGGCTATGCACAGAAAGGGCAGAAAGGAAGGGAAAGAACTGGGAGCAGAGAGGTGTAGAATTGCCCTGAGTTTTATCCTCTACAAATAAGTCAGGGGTTTTATCATCAAGCACTGAAGGAGTTAAGCACTAAAGCACAGACACGTAATCAGCTTTCCCCCTTCCTTTCACATGTGATTGGAATGAAGCTGCACCGAAGCAGCCCAAAGGGCTTATAACAGCTCAATTTCGCAGCCTTCAGTTTTAATCCCCATCACCCAGGCTAAGCACCATGGTGGTGTGGGGCTGCTACTCCACAGCAGTCTGAGCACCTGGATGATGATGGTCTTCATCCTCCTCTTCCTCCTCCTCTGCAGCCTGTAGATGGCTGGAGAGCTCCTGGATCACAGCAGCTCTACCAATCTGATCATTTCTCCTCTTCTCCATAATCAGATCCTCCAGGCTCTGGAACTCCAGCGTGTGGCTGCGCTTGTCACCCAGCCGGATCTGCAGTCGGTAGGGCTGCTTGCCTATGCGCAGCTCCCCACCGATTTTAAACTCCCGCTTGCCATACCGGCACCAGGCAGCAAAGCACTCAGAGTTTCTCCAACTCAAGTCCCGGTCCTTGCAACCCACCTGCTCCAGGGCATTGCGTACCACCACGGCCGGGCTGAGGGGTTTGTAGCGGTACAACTGGTTGGCAATGCGGCCCCGTCTGCCCTGGCTGGCGTCGGTGAGGAAGCTGTTCACCACCTCCAGCCTGTGCAGATGCACAACTTGAAAATCTCCAACATAAACCACCCAGTGAGGGTACTGGGCCTGGCACACAAACTCCACCAGGTCACCCGGTTTGCACCTATTCAGCAGGTTCTCCGGGGTGTAGGTGCTCAGATGCCCCCCACCTCCTTCATCACCCTCCTCTGGCAGCGTGTCCTCCTCTGCAAAGCTCTTCTGGTAAATACACTCATCCCGGTAATAGACTGAGCACTCCACCTCATGCAGCTGGGGGTCATAGGGCTGCAGGGCTGGGTGCTCACCCCCCAGGTCGTGCACTGAATCCTGCTGCTGCTCCAGCTCATCATCATCATTCGAAAAGATGTAGGAGACCCCGATCCTGGGCCCTTCATCTCTGTCCATACCTGTCGGGTCGGCCGTGGGAACTTCCTTGTAGTTCAGATGGGTCAGCTTCTCCACCTGGTTCCCCATGCCCGCTGCAACGACAGACACACAGCGGGACCATGAAGGCAGGCGCCAGGTGGCAAACCACGGCTCCCCCTCCACGCACGCACACACCCGGGTCTCCCCGCTGCACCGCAACCCCTGCGGGAGCCCCTCGGGGCGGCAGGAGGTGCGCACCGCCCTACCTGCGCGGAGGAAGGCGCGGCGGCAGCGAGGAGGAGGAAGAGGAAGGCGCAGGGAAAGCGGGCAGGCTCCGAGCCACCTGTTAGAGGGGGGCTGCGAGCGCCGCGGGAGGGCTGGAGGGGCGCGTTGGGGATGGCTGCGCTGCACCGAGCCGGGCTGCCGCCTCCCCCCGCGCCCTCCCCGGCACCGGGCGGCTGCAAACTTACCCGGCGGGGACGGCTGCGCGGCGCCGGGTGCAGCCCTAGGGTGAGCGGGCGGCGGTGCGGAGGCTGGGGCTGGGTGCACGGCGCGCTTGGATCGCGATCATGGCTCCGACCCGGCGCGGCTCCGCGCTCCCCGCGCAGCAGCAGCGCGCCGCGCCGCCGGCACCGGGGCTGTGCATAAGCACCGGAGAGGCACGGCCGAGGGGAGGGAGGCTGGATCCGGCTGCGGACGCCCCGGCGAGCGAGCAGCCCCCAGCATTTAAAGAGGCAGCTCTTTTTTTTCTTTTCCTTTTTTTTTTCCCTCTCCCCCCTCCCCTCCCCTCCCCTTCCCTTCCACCCCTTTCCCTTCCCTCCTTTCCGCGCCTCTCTCCCTTTCCTCTCCCCTACATGCCGAGCGCCGCGCTCCCCGCCGAGGCCGGTGTGCAGGCGGAGATCGGACGCCGAGGGTCTCCGCGGCGCTTGGCAGCGGGTGTGCAGCACGCTCCAGCACTAACTCGCTCACACGCGGCCCCTTTAAGGGACCGGTGCCACGAGGGAGCCCAACCCGCCAGTTTGGCCAGGGGGGAGTAACCGAGAGCCGGAGTTTGGCCGGGACGGCGCGGAGAGGCGATGCGGAGGCTCCGTGCGGGGCTGTGGGAATCCCCCCGCTGCAACCCCCGGGCGCGGATCGGCGCGGAGCTCCCACGGGAACAGCGCCCGCCCCGCAGCCCCTTTCCGGGAGGGCGGGAGGTGCCTCTGGGGGCCACAAACAATAGCAGGGAAGTTGTAAAGGGAACAAGAACCGACGAGCCCGGCTCTCCTGGGCTGATTCAGTGCCTTCCATTCCTCCACGAGCGGAGTGCGCAATTAGTTTTATTCATTTCTTTCCTTCCTGACTCTAAGAGATCGCTCTCTTTTTCAATATAGAAGATGATGATTCTTCCCCCCCCCCCCCCGGAAAGGCATTATCAGAACTGGTGGGAATATTTTCCTTTCTGCGTTTTGCAGAACGCAAACCAGTATTCTGCTTTTTCATTAATGCCTAGTTAGCCAGCTAGGTGGGTTTATTGTTCGTACTATTTTAACAAGCACTGGTAAATGCATGCTGGTAAAACAGACTACAGAGATAATTTATGGGAGCTGGGAGTAACGTCTTTAATTTTGTCTCATGTATTCCCTTTGTCTGTTGTCTTGTAATTTATAAACCCAACTGCACACTGCTGTTTTGAGGCGAGTGAAGGAACAAATGTCATGTTACCGGGGTGCTGAGCGCTGCCTACAGACTCAAAGGGTACCGTTTCCATCAGATTATACGCCTCTGTGGTTTCGAATATAGACCTGCCCTTTGGGGTAGAAAGAATTGCTGCTGCTGGGGCTGGAGGAGCGTGCACCCTCCTCTGCTTGGGACAGTACGGCAGGCACAAGCAATTGCAGCAGGTGACAGGCAGCCAGACCAGGCTGTTTTCAGTTCACCTGGTGACTATGTCTATAGGAGCATTTTAGAAGGCTGAAAAGCATGCCAGGAGTATGCTTTTGAAATGAATCTCCCAAACACCCACCTCCAACACACAGAGCGTTCAGTTTGCATCCCAATGTGGTTTCAAACAGTGCTTACAGCTTCCTTTCACATTCAGCTAGATGTGCTCCAGGTGCAGGATTGGACCAAGGCTAGTTGAGCAAACCTCCAAAATGTGTTTAGTGTAGGTTTTTCAGCACTCTACAGTTCACTCTATAGTTCCTTTATAGCTGCTGTTGGACAAAAGAGGACCCCGCTTCATAGACAGAGCTTTGTGAAATTGCCCCAGTAATCCATGGGCATGTGTAAAGGTGTGAATATCCTAAAAGTAAGAGCTAGACTGAGCATAGCAGTGAATTTTTCATGTTCTCCCATTTGTAGCGGAAGCCGTGTCCCAGTACCATACCCTTACTATTGTTGGAGCCATTATGTTTCTTGACTAAAGCAGTCTGGCAGCCTGGTGTCAAAGGCCAAGCTTCTTTTAGAATCTGCTGCAATGTATAGAAAGTTGTGTCTGTGCAGGAGTAGAAAACTCCCTCACTCTGTGTGCATGCACATCCACACATACTTGCAGCTCGCTGTCTTGTTCTCTTATTTTTTCCTGTCTGTTGCAGTTCACCCCAGTGCCTAATTTTTTGCACCTTCTCAGCTGCTTTGATTTGTGATCTCTCTGAGTTTTCTTTCAATGTCTGGTCTTCAGAATCCCCATTCTCTGACCGATCTGCTGCTTTCTAGGATCAGAAACTATTGGTGAGTATTGCTGTGTCATAGAACACATCCATAATGGCATACTGCCCATTCAGATAAGGCCTTGGGTGGAAAATCCACGAAGAACTTACAGTGCCTATATATCACCTGGGCTGGTGCCTAAAATGGTGATACTTAAAACTTCTGCATGCTTAACCTCTAAGACCCAAAGCAGCGTCACAGGCACAAGGGAAGGGGCTGGTGGCAGTGACATGCTATCCTAGTGACTGTGCTTTTCGAAAGAGCCGTGACCTCTTGCATAGCTTTCTAAAACCAAAAAGGACTTTGGTGCTTATCTGCTAAAGATAACACAGTCTGTGGGTATGGAGTTGGGGGAGGAATGGTTGCGCAGTTGCTGAGCTGGGGTCCCAAACTGCAGCAGGGCAGAGTGACATACCTCTGACCTTGCTACTGGAGGCTCCTCAGTTAGGTGACTTCTTGCTCAGTCTGCTGGCATTTATCTGGTTTTGAGATACTCAGCTCTGTGCACTTGTGTTACAGAACCAGTAAGTTGACGCTAAATGAAATTTATTATTCCAACTCGGTAAAAGCTCCACCAACATTAACTACATATTCAGGATGTCACTTGGATTTGTCTCTACACTGCAGAATCTTAAACTTCATGGCCAGTGATCCAACATTCACAGTCACTCACCTAAAAAAAACGAGGGCTCAACCTCAAGGAGTTCCCTTGGATGACATCCGGACCCAAGTGGAGAGTTCCTGACTGCAGGAGCTGCTTTGAGGAGGACTGACTACAGGTGGCTGCCCAAGGGGCTCCATTGCTGCCCTGCTGAGCTGTGGTCAGATATGGTCATGTACCCCCATAGGCTCAGGACCCAACTTCCTTCCTCTGCACCTGCTAGCCACCACCCTATGGCTATATAGTCCATTGATGTATACAGAACACAGAGGGGACTCTACCTCTTGGCTTAGAGACTGTGGACCATCTATAGAAAAAGTACATTTATTATTAGTCTATCTGACTCTAGCTGGTACAATCCAGGAACCTCTGTGGTGCTACTTCTGGTTGCTTTAAACTTAAGCTCTTTATTTTTGAGAATTGAGGTCTCAAAGTTATATTGTTGCCCCAATGCTATTATCATCTTCATGTTCCAAAGCTGTCTTATGTTTAGTGTTAATACAGGTCTTATATCCAGAGATTAAAAGGGTGATACTGATTTGAAATCACAGTTTGTCCTTGTGTTCCCATTATTATTGTCATTAAGAAAGTATCTGCTATGAGAAGAAATAAGTCTGCTTGTTATACATTTATATTTTTTCCTTAGCAGTGCTTCTGAGTAAGACAAGGTTTAGTGTTTTGTAAGCATGTTGTGTTTCACAGGTATTCAGCCAGTTGATGGCTATGACACCCTTGAATTATTTAATAGCTTCCATTTCTTTTTTCAGTAGAGTTTTATGAGAACGGAGGTAAACTATGCTCCATTTGGCATGTAAGCACTCTACATCATAAACCTAGCAAAGAAAAGTGCTTAAACACCATGGTGGAATTAGGGCAGTGGAGGAATAAACCACTTCCTAGTGAAGTCTGTGGGTGCTCTTCCAGAGAGTTCTGTAGAAACTAGTCATGCCCTTAATAGAGGGAGGTGTGTGACCTGATGGATGTGTCCTTGAGAGAGGGTGTCCTTCCACTGCAGCCATAGTTGAGTCCATCATGGAAATTTGGATTCAGGATTGTAACATTTCATTTGTTCCCTCTTTGGCCTCCAGTGGAAACTGCATTCCTGAATCAGGCACCAAGTTCCTGTAAAGCTAGGAATGACACTAAAATCAGATACATCAAACCTGGCATGCCTGAGGTAGCTGGTGGGGAATAGGACAGAGTTAGCATCCTGACAGCCATTGGAATCCGGCACTTCCTTTCATTCATCGTGTTCACAGCCTAATACTCTCCCAAGGTTAAGTACTTTAATGAGATTGGCTGTTTCTCACACACAAGAGGAAATGGTGCCACATCAGTTAATAAAAAGCATTAATATTTCAGATTGCTTCCTTGGGGTATGAAAGACCAAGGTTGAAGTCTCTCATCTTACTGAAGGAACTTGAACTGATATCTCCCAGAAGAGTACTGAAAGCCACCAGACTGTAGGCTATTTTGGAGCAAGCCAAGCTCTCTCTGTCCCACTGAAGCTGCTCTGCTTTGTATGGGCTCATTAAATACCCATTCAGTCAGCTGGGAAAAAGAGAAAAGTATGACAATGGCTCTTAGATGCAAGAAGGAGTTGAGAGTGCTTTGAGGTCCTTTCTAACAGCTATTCAGATATCTCATGATCATGCAATATCTTCAGCAGTAATTCAGTCAGAACCACCAGAAAGATCTGAAAGTTTTGCTTTCAGAACATGCTCATGGAAGAGCTTTGTTCATGTTTTCTCAGGAGCAGGCTGGGGCTCTGGGCCTCATATCCTGCATGACTGGTGTAACCCAGATGCTACTACTACGTATCAGCTCCTCTGGGTTTCTGTTGCCTTAGAGCCATGCTGATAACCTCTGCTGGAGCCTGGGCAGGGCACAACTAGTTTGTGACTTTGGGCGTGTGTGTGAAATGAGTGTGGAGCTGTCACTGCTTGCTGGCTCTGCTTGTACCTCCAGGAGAAATATTGGGAATTCAGATAGCCATAAAATTTATGCATCTCAAAATGCTGAAAAATGAATCTTGGTATTTCTAAAACTTGAGATTCATGATATTCTGACAGGAGAGATATAATGAGCCTCTGGTGTCAGGAAGATTTTATCTGCATTTAGCCTATAGACCTTTAATAACACAAAGAGATTGACATCTATGTGCTTCTAACATATGACCTTTGGTATTCGGTATAGTGTAGCATGGCCCACTATATATTCAAGACCTGAAAGTGAAGCAAGCTGCTGATCAGAGAGAGACCCACATGTTGAGAACCGAGAGGGGAAATTCTAAGTGCCTTGGTTATCACATCAGCAAACTCAGTTTGTCCTAAAACTCTGGCTGGAAGCTTATGGTTCTGTTAACTACTTTCAACATTGTAATTTGTGACTAAATGTGATCTGTTGCAAAATAAATTGCTGAGATTGCCGAAGCCACAGAGTTTTTGACTGAGACATTCAAGCAGTATCTCAGAAGAAGCTCTTCCACTGTGAGATTTTAATTGGTGCATTCCAGCAAATGAAAATGAAGTAATTCATATGTCAGTAGAGGCCTGGATTCTTAGGAATTGCTATCAAACTGACTTAAGCAGCAGGCAAAGCTTGATTAAAATGCAGTCTTTTTTTTTTCCTCCCCCAGAAAATAGCAACTGTATTTCAAACATAACAAGGAAGGAGGTACTGCACATGCATCTTTCCAGCATGAGAACTGCTAGCCTCTTGCATCTCTTATCCCTCTCCCACACTGAGCTTCTATACCAGAAGCTCCTCCTTTAATGTGTCTTAGCACATCAATGAACTGCTGGCTGCCTTGGTAGCACAGCACGTCCTTCTGTATGCAGCTAGGAAAGGGTGGGACTGCTGCATTCAGTAGAGAAACTTGAGATGATTGCTCCTGGTGTGCAATACCTAAGCAGAAACCATTAGTAAAGGGAAGGAGTCTTTCCTTTGGCTGTTGCCATGCTGCTAATAAAACAGTTGAATATGGAAAGTAACAAACATCACTCCTTCCAGCAAATCTATGATGTAACTACAGGTTGCCCAGAGAAGCTGTGGCTGCCCCATCCACGGCAGTGTTTAAGGTGAGGTTGGATGGTGGTTGGAGCAACCTGGTCTAGTGGAAGGTGTCCCTGCCCATGGCAGGGGGGTGGAACTGGATGAGCTTTAAGGTCCCTTTGAACCCAAACCATTCTGGGATTCTGTGAATATGTGCTCATGCCTCCATTTTAAATTGGTAGGAACAGAGGAACCACCGAGCAAAGTGTCCCTTTCTGTGACACTGGTGGTGTCTGTGCCAGATTATGAGGTTGGTCATGACAGAACATGTAGCGATGCACAAAGTGGTAACACGTCTGTGAAGTCTGCTGTCCTTATCGCATCTTTGGATGCTTGCTGATTTGACCCAGAGGTACTGGCCACAGCTGCTCCCCACAACCATCTCTGCAGGCCCATGGCAGGGTAGAGGAGCAGGAGCTGGGAGGGTAATCAGCCTTGTCATTCACCCATTACATGATGAAACAGGTTAATGTCTTCCCCAGGCAATGGAAAGCATCAGAGACACAAAGCCTCAAACCACCTGCGAAAGTGATGTTTGAGGCTGGACCTGTTCCAAATCCAGCCGAGCAGCACTCATCCTTTGCTGGCCTGAGTTGCTGAGGCTGCAGTGCTGCAGGGGGAGCCCCTGTGGGGTTTATACACAGCCATCTCCACTGGGGAAGACCTGGGGCTAACCTGGTTCCCCATGTGTGAGTGCAGGGTGGAAGGGAACAGTGCACAGCTTGTTCTCTGCTCTCACCTTGTGTCACAGTTGTTATTGTTTACAGCCCTCACCGCAGATGAATGCACAGAGTGAACCTGCATCTGCCCCGGGTGTGTTGTGAGTGGCTCATGGGGCAGGGATTTGCTGAGCAAGACAGGGAGGGAACAGGCAGCTGAAGGATCTGCTCTGGGGCATTAGCGTTGAGGCAGGGCTCGGGGAAGCTTGTGGGATGGAGTTGCATCAGTCTGAGGCAGCAACAAAGTTGGGTGAGAGCAGTATGACATCCTTGAGAGGTGGAGGAAATGGAATGGGAGGATCTATTCTTCCAGGTCTCTGGTCTCCATTTGTGGATAGAAGCTATTCCTACCTGTTGCACTGAAGAGCTGCAAAGATAAATAAACCCATTAAGGTCCTGAGGTGCCTGCTAACAAGGTCCATGGAGACAGAGAAGGAAATTGCTAGGTAGGTGCTGTTTTTCCAGGCAGTAGGAGTGTCTGAGTTTGAATCAGTGCTCAGGGAGGTTCTTAACTCTTTACCCAGGCTTGCCTCTGGACACAGCATACAGCACATGCCTGCAGCACACATGCCAAACACCTTCCCCGGCTGCAAGCATCCTTCTCCCATAACTCACCAGTGATGCTGCCGAGACCTTGGAGGCCACAGGGGACCAGCCCAGCTAAGGCAGGCTGAAGCCACTTCTGTGGATTCGTTCCTGCCTGCAACCAAGAACCATTTTCTACCTTGTTTAAGTGCACACCTGGAGACAACCTGCTCAGCTTCACAGCAAATAGCAGGTACTTCTGCCCCTTTGCAGTAGGCACATGAGCATCATGGAATGCCACTGTGCTGAGCATACAGAAATGCCGCTGTACTTCTTGTTTCAGAATGCATCAGTATTACCCTTGACTTCTACTAAGCCCTTTTTGTTAGTACCTGTGGGAGGAGAGCAAGGAGCAGATGGTTATTCCTTCAATCCTGTGAACTAGTTAGATGAAAATCGTATTCCTAGTAGAATCTACTGTCAAGGAAGCTTCTGGCCTGCTGGGTGCTGCTGGGTTGGGTTTATAAAGTGCTCTATGGATAATGATGTGTGTACTCATAATAATGATTTTAATTCCTGTTAGAACTGACAACTGTATGTGTTTGGCTTTCTGAAGACAGATGTTCTCCTGCTTGGTTATGTGTGTTGATTCCACCTGGGGAAATAGGGAAAGAAGGCATCATAAAGCAATGAGCT